TGCTTAACTCAAATGGCAGGAGCAACTTCCATAATAGATAGTTCCCTTCTGACTCTTAGTTGGATAAACATCTCAACCATTATGTAGCAGTTTAGGCAAATGTATGGAGTTTTATCTCCAGCGTTGTGCTTTCCTCCATTTTTTTGCAGTGCCTTGTATTCTCATTTTTATAAGCAGTTACCAAGGGAGGGTGGGTGAGTGCTGCTTTTTCTCCTCTATCCTTATGTGCTTATTCCCAGGGCCTTTGTTTTGGAGGATAAAATCTGGAAAGTGTCTGGAATAGAAACTGCTGTTCTCCTCAGCACAGTGATTGCATTGGAGGTAGAGGCTGCGGGATCACACTAGCACCCTTGAGCAAATTTTATTCTTCATTGGTCAGACATTGCAGTTATGAGACAGCACTGACCGAGTGTGAACTTTAACAGTTTAAGTTAGTATTGGCAAGCTTTATGCTGGATCAGGTGTCATCTTCCAGGTGACAGAGTGAACCTAGCCAGGGTGAACTCTGTATCACTGGGTAGCTGAGCAGAAATGCAGTTGTAAAACCATGGCTGACCCAGGTGAAAGGTGTGCTCCCAAGCCCACATGTCACTGGGTGTTGAAGATCAAGGAACTGTGATCTGAAGTTCAGCCTTGGGCAATGATGAGTCTTAGTGACAAGGTCCCCTGTCCTTCCTGGTGTCCAAGCGTGGGTTGAACCTGCAAGGTCCACTGAGTAGTCAGCTCCTCTGAAAGCTGGTAAGGGAGCCTGTCCAAAAGGTGCGTGCTGGCATATTTGAGACTGAACAACCCATGACTGCATGTAGATGCATTCAGCCTTTAAAACTGTGGTTCCCTTCTGTGTTTAAGCTTGTCCCTCAGCTTCTGTTCTTGAGTTGTTTGGAGAAGATGGAAATTTGTTCGTAATTATCTCCTGTGACAACATTGCCCGCTTAGAGTGAAGTGTGGCAGTAGCAAAACAAAATGCTGCTATTTGCAGGCAGAATTACCTTCTTTTATTTCTCCTAAAGTAAAATATCAAGACTCCTGACCCCTGCAGAAAAGAGACTGTATGGGAATAGGAAAGGAAGAGATGTGCTGGCAGTAAGCAAGAGACTGTATGGGAATAGGAAAGGAAGAGTGCTGGCAGTAAGCATGTATGTGTTGTCTGTTCCCCTTTGTTGGATAAAACATTGTGAGGGGGATGACGCTGGTAGCTGGAGCCTGTGTAGAGGTGTTTTTGTCCACTGTTGGGTACCAATGATGTTACAAGCAAACCTGAGCAGCTACTTAGTGAATTTAAGCTCTGCTTTTAAATATGTAGATAGGAACCGGAGATTTATGCCACTACTGAGTACTTCCAGTGCGGGTTTTGTTTGGATACACGCCAACCAGGGCTAGTTGTCCCTATAGCAAGCTCAGCAACTCCTCTATTATTTGTCACTAAACTTCAGAAGCAATTGCTACTTGTTTACCTGCCACAATACTTGGCACTGGTGGCTAGTCTGAGTCATCAAAATAAATTACTCTGCTTTTGATCTTTTGTCAGAAGGTGGCTGTTGGAAAGGAAAACTGGCCCCATGTCTCCCATTTGCTTTATGGAATTGAGGGGTTAAACCAGAGAGTTAGTGTGAGTTTAACCCACTGCTGCCCAAGGATGCCTAGACCTAGCTGCTGAATTGTTTGCTAAAGCGAGGATCCAGTTTACTGCCACAGGTATATCTCCCAATCTCTGCAGTTAATTAAAAAAAAAAAACAAACCACAAAACCACAAAGATTTTGCTTCAAATGATGAGTTTATTTGTGATAAGAAATTAAACAAATGGTTTGAAGCAATAAGCTACCAAGGCTTAATGAGTTAGTGCTCAGCAGCTAGGCAGAAAAGTCTGTCCTTCTCTCCTAGTTTGCCCAGTTTCAGGTGAGAGCTGTGATGGCCACCTTATTTCCTTTGAGGTGAGGTGACTCAGCTGAAAAGGGGAACATGCTCCTGTTGGTGCTTGTTCTCTATGCAAAAATCAACATTTCTGTACCCCTCCTGCTGTGTTGGTATGAGAGCATCATCAGACCTGGTGAAGTATCAGATGTTCTCTGAGTTGCAGCTGGTGCCTTTTGACTAGTAGATCTGCTGGTGGAGCTCAGGCATTGATTCAGTGCTAAGCATCAAGAGAGCATCTGAATAGTGGAGGAAATAAATGGGTGCCAGACCTATTCTGCCTCTTCTTTTGGCAGTTGGTGCACTAACCAGCATAACTGACTCCTGGTGGGTGGGTGTTGGTCGTCCCCTTTTGCCTGGGTTAAATGCGTGTGCAGTGATGAGTGCCTTTGGTTTGCCTTATTTAATATACATAAATGTGAATTTATTTTTTTAAAAAGGCAACACAAAACATGCCTTGCATTTGGGGTGTTTGGAGGGTGTTGAGCCCAGCTTGGTATGCAGGAGTGCAGGACTAGCTGAGAGCATCTCTGGGAAACTGGTATTTCTCATTCTTGGGGCTATTATCAAGGCGCATGGCTAGAACATAAAACTACTCATGTTAATACTGACTTTCTTAGAGGTAAATATAGCAACTGAGCTGTAAGTACCTATTTTAAAAGTGCTTCTCCAATATTGAGTTCCCTCACTGCTGAGTGAGGAGGGCTAACCTTTGGCTGATGATCACATTGCTCTGGGTATAACAGACAAGAGGAGGAATGACCCAACTGTCATGTGTTCATCAACAGCCATTCTGGCGGCTTCTGGTCAGGTTTCTTCTGGGTTTTGACAGTCTTTTGTGTGATGACAGACCTGCTAAGTATTTATTGTTGATGCTGGCATTCTGCCTACTACTTGGCTTGCTTATCCTAGCAACTGAGGCAGGTGGGTCTGGCACATGAAGCTGAAAATAGTTGTGCTGGCTTTAAAAATGGAGAGATCTGAAAACAGGTTAAATGTAGTTCCCCTGCAGAGCAAGTTTTATGCCTTGCTTTGGGAAGAATTTGTGTGATTATATCCTTCAGGAAGGATCACAAAATGGGAAAGCTACTCACTTACAACTTCTATGATTTACCAGAGTTGACTAATACACAAACATTGCTGCTGCCAGGTAGCATTGGATCATCTTGTCAGTCTGGGTTCTTCAGATATTGTTTAATACAGAACAGAGAGGTATGGCTCAGTGATATGTTGAAACATAATGCATCAATTTAAACACCACGTGTCAGAGATTAAATTGCCCTAATGCATGTCGAAATGAAAGTATCATTATACCCTTGGAGCTCTGCAGGAAGAGAACTCCAGTTAAAATACCCAAACTGCTGCTCACGCATGAGTACTTACTGGAATGTGAATGTTGCTGTCTGCTGCTGGTTGTTAAGAGGTTATCTACACAGTACTTATTTTAACAAATAATTTTAAAAAGCTGTATAAAAATTGATGTCTATCTATATACCCTGGTGGGATGTGGGAGGTGATAAAAACCCTTCCACAATCTGGAAATGGGCTGTGGGAGGCTTCAGGTTTCCTGCTCTGGTGGAGTTCTGACTCCAGAAGTTGGGTCTAAAAGCCTAGCTGGCTGGCTCTCTTCCTCTCTTACTGAAACAGACAATCAAGAAAGCAATAAATACTCAGGTATTTTAGTTTGATTCCGGATCCTGTCCTTGGATTATAGATTTATGTCTAATTTAGTAAAGCAGGCTGTAAGCCAGGGCCTGGGTTAGGATGAAATGCTGACAAAGCACAGTGGATTTTGGGCTGGGGATCAAGCAGGAAAAGCAACGAATGCAGCAGTAGCGGGGAGAGAGATTCTGAAAGTGAGATGTAAAAGAGGCTCTGTCCCTGATACTGCGTTCACATGGTGCTTCCCGAAACACGTGGTGTGTAACTAGTATATTTGCAAGGCTCAGAATGATGTACCAATGCAAATATGTTCTTGACCACTGAAACGCAGATGAGACTTCTCCGTGTTCAGCAGAAGGAAATCTTAACTGAGTTACTGTAAGGCTGAGCAAGCCTGAAATTGGAGTTCAGTCTTGTGGCCTCCCTGTTAGTGTGCTTAGGACATTATCCCTCGTGTAGCATTTTAGTATTAGTGTATTCAATGGCCACTGCATTTTGTAGTTTTGAGCTTGCTGATATCACTTAATGAAATAGCCTGCAAGTAGTCTTCACATCACTGAAACAGCTTGATGAAGGACCACTTTTGGAAGGACATCACCTTGGTTAACTGGCCAGTAGTCACTGGAGATTCATCAAGTGATACCTCCCCTTACCAGTAATGACTCCTGGTGCCCACAGCTCTGCGTGAACTGATGTAGAATATCTAATGATGGCCCAGCCGCATCTTTTGTTGTCAGCATTAGCTCTTTGCCAGCAAGTGCTTTAGCAGGAGCTGGAGTATGAGCAGTGCTTTGACTTTATCCATGCTCTTATCAATGTTTTGTGTTACCTGCATGGACCTGGGGGCTACTGAGTGCAGCAACAGCTGTTTCTTTCCCTTTTTTTTTTTTCAAGGCAAGTGCTTGCTGCGGTGAATTTGGCACCAATTCCCCTGCCAGCTAAGACTGTACAGTACCTTGCTTAAAATGTTCCAGGCCAAACAGGATTTCCACAGATATTTGAGGGTATCTTGGGTGAAAAGCATGCAGGATGAGACACAGAACTGTGGTGTGATGCACTTCTTCCTGTGTCTCCTGTCTTCTCTAGTACATAGACTGGATGTGGGTAGGAAATGATGCGTGATGCAGATGGAGGACGAGGAGAGTTGAGACTTGAAGTGATGAACAAGTCAATGTCTGCACCCTTTTTGATGTGTCTGCTGACTTAGAGCACAGTTGTGGACAGGTTGCCTGGTTGCTGTGTTTCAGATCTGTCAACTGGATTTTGTGGATGTGCCAAGGGGTTAACTGTGTATGGAAGTACTATCCTCTGCTGAAAACATCAGTCCGGAGGAACAGGATACCGTGCGTTTGTATTTGTCATGTTATTTCTGACCAAGTATCATCTGGAGTCACTAAATCCAGTGTCTCTCTCTTCCCTTAGCTGAAGCTTGAAGATCGCTCTGTGGTCCCTCGAGATGTGGTCAGACATATGAGCTCCAGCGTAAGTGCTTTTTTCTTTGTACCTTTTTGATCGTGATACTGCTGCATGGATTTCTAAGACTTGCCAAATTGCCTGAATGGAACCGAACAGTAATGCTTTGAGCATGTTCTATTTTTAGTGTGCTTGATAGACCTAGCTGCATCCTTTGAAAATGAAATGCTGATAAGGCTGCCTCTCTACTGTAACATATCTGCAAAGGTCTCCTGAGCAAGCGAGCCTGATAATGTAAGGTAATGAGACAAGAAGCTTGTCTATCCTGCCATCCTTTAAGTTTTAAATCAGTCCATTCCGAGACGTGGGGAGTGTGGACCTGCTTTCCCGGGCCTAATAGGGAGGCTGGAGTGGAGGTAGATCACATCCCCCGCTGCATGCCTTTTGGTGTGCTGTGGTAGAGAATTTGGATTAAATGCTTTCAGGGAGACCTCTCAATCTGCAGTGATCACCATCTTGTCCAATTTCTCCCAGAAATACAGCAAATCCCAACACTACTGAAGCAAGACATACGTTGAAGCATCTGACACAGCTTAGGTCAGCAGAAAGCAAGCTGGTTCTTAACCAGCAGCTTATAATCATTACCTTTACTCTTCCTGGATATTATTTTAAGTCCTAGTCATTCTGTTCTAATTGTACAACATTTGTGCTTATCAGAGATGAGTGCATTTGTTTTTTGTGTAGGGAATACTGGGAACACTGTTCAGATCGATTATCAGATGAGATGTGGTCTCCTTAGGAGCTTAGCTACGTTGGCAATTGCTCGCTGTTGCTCACACCTAACCTGTAACCCCGAGCCATATGGCCTGCCATGTGCACGCCTGTATCTTCTCCTGACTTGCTTCCAGCAATGTGGCTACCAAAGTTGTGATGAAGCAGGCAGCTGGCCACTAACTGCTGCAGTTGCACCACATGGTGTGCAGCCTGGTGCAGGGATGGGGAAGGCCATTCTCTGACCCAGGTGTTTTGGTTTTTTAAATAAAGCCTTTTTGTCAATTAAAAAAAAAGTAAACCCACTCCTTTTTCACAGAATGTTCCAAAGAGAAGAAAAGGGAAAAAAACTTGAAGGGTAATTTGAAAAATGCTGAAACAAAATATTTCCTTAAGAAGTGTAATTGTTGTTTGAAATGGAAATCTGGAGTCAACATATCTTACTAAAACTGCAGCTTTACGAAAGCGTTTCAATCCAAAACAAAGAACTGCTAGCAAATTGGAATATCAGCTGTTCACCCCATTGTACCTGGTACAGCTGGACTCTGTAGTATATCCCTCTCACTCAGAGGGATGCTTTGAGTCCTGCTTCTCAACTGTTTGTTCTCCAATGCTTCTTAAAGTCATTTTAAGCTTTCAGGGCAGCAAGTTCTTCTCCTCTTGGCAAACATGGATGTGCTGCTTTTGTTTGCAATTTCCATACTCATCTGAGCAGAAATTGGCTTCTCTGGCTTGCTGCACGTGTATCAGTAGATACATTGCCCAGCAGTTGTTTTGCACACTCCTTTATTGTCTGTTTGCATGTTTAAACACTGGGTTTTGCTTGACCATTTGTACTAGTGGCTGATAACTTCACTTTTTTAATTGATGGAATGATGAGGATATAACTCAGTTTCTTCTCTCCCCTCTAGTCAAAAGCATAGCAAATCTGAAGATGACTTATACTTCACCTTGTGCTCATATATGTTCTAAATGTCAGTAGTAAAAGAAACAACCCCCTTCTATCCCAAAGAAAACCTTTACTTGTTAATCAGATGTATTGCAAAAATTAGAAAAGCATTTAAAATAGAAAATCTGCAAGTGTCAGCCTGCCAAATTCAGGATGTGGGATGGTTGCCCTGCACCAGTTGGCCTGGCAAATGCACAGTGTGGAACTTATTCTGTATTCACTGCACTTTCTTAGTGCTTGTTTTTAACCTTGAGCGGGAAGGGCTCAAAATCCTCAAGAGAAGAGAGCTGACTTAAATTCATGTGCTTCTCGTCGAGCACTGAATGTGGGGAAAGACTGCTTCAGGGGGTAATGCATAAAATGAGATCACTTTCTCTGAATGCAGTTGGACCTGTAGGTCTAATCCAGCTGGATGAGAAGTGGTGAAAGTGGCAGAGTTCATTTTTCCAGGTGATATGCTAATTTGGGAGAAAGGTTAGAACTAGGTCTATAATCTGTCAGACACCTGGATTTTGTTGCTTCAAAGGGTGCTGGGCTATGCTGTCCCTTTTAAATAAAGGAATAAGAGGGTGGTGTAGAGATCCCCTTATTAGAAAAGAGAGTGTTGAGGGAAAGAGTAGAAGGATGGGAGGTAGCAGATGTGGGACTGCAGCGTACACTTGCTGATCTGCTTTTCTCTCAGGTGGGAGTTTGCTGGTCTGCCTTAAAGCCTTGTCTCTGGTGGGAAAGGAAAAAAGTCACTTCTCCATCCATTCATTGCTTAAATACTCAGTGTATCCAGCATGGTGCATGCTGTCAGGGTACCAGAAGAAGCAGGAAGAAAGTCTAGGGAGTGCCCTTAATTCTGGTGTGAGTGGGGCTTGAACCCATCAACTCTTCTAATGAAGATCAGTCACCCCCCTTTTCCAGTTCTGCTCTTGGGGTTGATGGAAATTGATTTTTGTAACAGAACTGTGAAATGTCAGCTCATTTCATTGGGCCCCTCCTTTAATGGGAGCATCTAATGAACAGGATGGGACAGCTGTGTTTGAGCAGGCTGGTGAGGAGCTGTGCTCTGGTTGTAGACCTGCCCTGGAAGACGAGACAAGTTGGTGACTTCTCACTCCGGGACTGCATTGCTGAGTGCTGCTACAATCTGAGTGATTCAGCAGAACCCCTCAGCCTGTGAATCTGCCTTCCCTCTTGCAGGCTAATGTTTCATGTGACAGTGAAATAAATAAACTCATACTAAACAAAGGTTCAGTGGCAGGTGAGGGAGGAGAGCTGTGACTCAACAGCCCGGTAGCTTCTGGGGCTGCTCACAACATTGATCCCTGCTTTCTTAACCGCAGACAGTGCTCTCTGCTTGCTCAAGCGTTTTGCAGCTGGAAGGAGAAGCAAGCTGAACTCAGCCTGGTGCTCTTGCCCATGTCTAGGTGGCACCCAACTGTGCTAGATGGGAGACAGGCTTGTAGGGAGGTGCAGGCACCTTCTCCACGGGGAAACTGTCACTTAGAGAATGGGCAGAGGGTATTGGTGTACATCAGTTGCCCCAGTCCTGGGTTTATTACTTGTTGTTCTCTCACCATAAATAAAAGGGGGCATTTAGGCCCAGAGACAAGATGATCCACAGAAACCGCAGGTGTTGGATTGTATCATGTCTCAGAGCTGCTGTCATGTTGGCTGTTGATAAAGGAAAAATTAATTCTGAAATGTTCAGTGTAGGGCAAGGGATTTGTTTCTTGAGGTTTTTTTTGGTTCTGACTACTAAGAAATCTAAAACACAGGGCCAAAACTGCAAAGCATGGGCAGAGAATGGACTGGGCATACTTTATTTAGCTTAATCTGGAAGAAAAGTAGGGTAGGTGGCTGTGCTCTGGCCTTCAGAAGCTGTGGGTTTGTTGAGCAGGTGCCACTTCTGAGCAGGCCTTGCTCATCCTAGGGCTCGAATTGTGCTGGCAGCAGCTGTTGTGAATCTGGCGTAGTTCTGGCAAACCCTTTTCAGGTGAGAGTTACAGTACAGCTCTGCTGGGCTCTTTCCTGGCAGCCTGTGCAGGCTGCAAGCTACATTAGGCTTAGCTGCTGTCTGTCATGATGGAGCTAGGAAAGGTTCCCTTTGCTTCCCAGCCTTTCTAGAAAGAAATGGGAGTGATATGTGGAGCAGCTGGAGGGAATGAGCCCCTACTGCCTTGGGCTCTGCCAGCCTGGCTCTCCCAGCCCTCCTGGCCACGCTGGCACAGCTATGCATGGGCAATGCATGGGGCAGGACCCACTCTCCTCATTGCTGCCTCTTCGGGAGCCGGGGAGCTGAGGAGCACAGGGTTTGTGTGATGTGAGTAAGAGGACTTGCAGCAGGCAGGTGGAAAGCAGGCCAGCCAAATGGGCTGAGCAATCTGTCCAGGAATTATCCCGGACTGCGGGTGTCTGTAGGGTGTCTTTGCTCTAACTACCAGTCCTCAAGATGAGATGGGATGAGTTGAGTGCCAGCAAACTCCTGAACTCCCAAAAGGCCTGCTCAGGGCTCTGAGTGAAAGCCTTGAATAAATATTTAATGTGGTTTTAAGAACAGCATGTTTATAAGTGGACTGAGCAAACAAATCCACTTCTCGCAGGGTGTAAGCCCTTCGAGTGTTACGCTCAAGTCCTGTTGGAGCAGAGACCTTGATGTTTGAGATAAGGACAGCTTCAGAAGTTGCTGATACCAGGGCATTTGTCATGCTGGCCCTCAGTCAGCTTTTATAATGGACTTGTGGTCTTTAATAAATAAGGGTATTGATTGTCCCAGCTGTCAGGAGGCCAGGGCAGCTGCCGCATTTGACAGTGTTTGGGTTAGCAGCCCTTCCTTGCAGGCCTCCGCCATATGTGTGAGCAACGTGCATATTGTGTGCTCCCTGCCAAACTATCCCCAGAAGGCTCTTGACAGCGTGCATTATTTTCTTGGGGACAAAAAAGATTAAAACTTTGCTAAAAAGTGAAGGAGATAATGACAACCATCTCATAATTGGACCAACTGTAAACTATCTGGCTTGAAACCTTGAAATCTGATGAAAGGTGCCAGATTTTTTCTTTTTTTAGTATGGCAGCAAGTGAAGACCATTTATAATGTCCTGCAAAAGCAAGCTTTACGTGAGAAGTCACAGATAGCTTTAAAGGTTTTCTCTTTTGTTCTGAGGTTGACGATCTACCCCTGCCTTTGCTGGCTCAGGGCAGTACCTGCAGGACGGTCCTATGGAGTTGCAGAGATCTGCTCAGTTGAATAGACCAAGGAACCCGGCAGATTTTTAAAACAAGTAAATGCTAATCACCTGACATAGTGTGGTCTTATTTGACCAGATGCAGGAGTCTCTGGGCTGCTGCATTAGCAGCCATTGCAAATTTCAACTGGGAAGAAAACACCACAGGTCTTTAATAGTGATCTCACCTTCTCAGTTGTCTTAGGGTCATGTGAAATGCCCCTTCAGAACGAGACCCGGCAGGGTAAGAGGGGGGTTTACTCTTGAGACTTGTCTCTGCACTTCCCATCTGTACACAGAGCATGTACGTGTGTATGTAGGACCTCCCCTAGGTGATAAACCCTTTTTTCTCTTTTGTGTTTTCAGGACAGCCAGTGTGGGACTGTAATTGATGTCAACATAGAGTGTGCTGTGAAGCTGGTAGGAACCAACTGCATCCTCTACCCTGTCAACAGCAAAGACCTGCAACATATCTGGGTGAGAACACAGCCAAAACACACGTGGGAGCCAGGGCTTGGTGGTTTGGAGGGATGCTGCTGTATTCCAAGTAATGCATGCAAGGGAGGCATCCATATTTTGCAAGATGCATCTGTGGCTTGGTTTTATTTTAAACTTACTGCAAGCATCCTTTCTGGAAGAAGATGATGCAGCATCACCTCATCTCCCCATCTGTTCTGTGTTTCTGATCACATCGCTGAAACCAAATTGACTTGGAGGGCTAGGTTGACATTAAATTGTGTGAGAACTTCTGCACTGAGATAGGCTGGTGTGACAACCTGATTGGGGCAGCCCCATAGCAGTGGCACAGAGCTTCTGAGCTGCAGTATTGTTATTGTTTAAACAGGCTATAAAAATGCTGAGAGGAGTCAAGTATCTTTCTGTTGAGCTGGAACAGTCTGAAATGTACCTGGTTTTCCCTCTTGAGTGGGTGGGTGATTTCCAGAGACCAGGTGGGATAGAATTTCATCATTTTCTCCTCTGAGAAAAAGATAATTTGGGAGTGAAGAGCAGGAATGTCACAACCCTTCTCAAGCAACAGCTTGTGGAAAGGCAGTGGGATACAGGCTTCTCTGCTTGGGATGGAATATTAGGCTCAGTAATAAAAATTGTTAAAATTGGCTGAAGGCAAGTGTGACTTAGCAAGTTTAAAATCCGAGGAAAAAATCCCAGAAAGCCCGAACCGTTTAACTGGAGAATCCAGGCTATGTGCTGACTGTCAAGCAAACTCTTCAATGTACATTTATTCTGGTTTACAGCGAGATCTGCAGTTGCTGTCATAAATCTGTTTGAGATTGCTATGTAGTCTGCATTGTCTAAGGACTTACTTGATGGCTCAAACTACAAGGGTTGATGTTTCTAAGGCTTGTTTCCTGTTTTCTTCATAGCCTTTCATGTATGGTGACTACATAGCCTATGACTGCTGGCTGGGCAAGGTCTATGATTTGAAGAACCAAGTCATCCTCAAGCTTTCCAATGGAGCCAGGTACTTCTTTCTGTTGAAGGCTGTCCCCCTTGGGTTTCATGATCCTGATCTATTTTGGGAGAACTAGAAACAGGCTGGGCTTCTCATTTGCATACTGATAAATCATCTGCTTGTGTTATCTTCAGATGTAGAGTAAGAACATATCTTTCTCTGAAAACAGTGAGATTCATTGGTCACCCTCTGGAAAAGCTGTTTTCTGAAAGGTGACAATTTTTTTTCAATCCCAGCAGATCAGTCCTCCAGAACTAAAGTATGTTGGTTTTTAAGCTGCACTTCTCCCCTGGAAGAGTGGCTGTTTCAGATGGATTGCATATGCCAGACTTTTTCTCAGTAGGAGTGCATACCTTCACTGAGATGCAGGGAGGGAGGATTCTTACCTTAAAAAAAAAAAAAAAAATCTGTGAAAGTGTAGAAACCTGGAGGCTAGTGGTTTTCATCAAAGATGAAAAAGCAGGCCAAGACTGAACAGCATTGCTTTATTTTCACTGTTATTTGCAACTGTATTAGGAATGTTTTTTTCAATGAAGACATAATCCAAAGTCGTATCTCTAGAGAGATTTAACCAGATGTCCTGTTTTCAGCTGAGATAGAGTTAATTTCCTTCCTAGTAGCTGGCACAGTGCTGTGTTTTGCATTTAGGATGAGCATAATGTTGATAACACACCGATGTTTTAGTTGTTGCTGAGCAGTGCTTACACTAGTCAAGGACTTTTCAGCTCCCCATGCTCTACTGACTGAGCAGGCTGGAGGTGCACAAGAAGCTGGGAGGGGGCACGGCCAGGACAGCTGACCCCAACTGGCCAGAGGGACATTCCATACCATGGGACGTCGTGCTCAGTATATAAACAGGGGGGAGTTGCCCGGGGGGCAGCGACCGCTGCTCAGGGACTGGGAGGGCATTGGGCAGTGGGTGGTGAGCAATTGCATTGTGCATCGCTTATTTTGTATATTCTTTTATCAGTATTATAATTTTCCCTTCCTTTTCTGTCCTATTAAACTGTCTTTATCTCAACCCACATTTTACTTCTTTTTCTCTCCCTCATCCCACTTTGGGGTGGGGGGAGTGAGCGAACGGCTGTGTGGTGTTTAGCTGCCTGCTGGATTAAACCACAACACCAGAGATATTGAAAGAAATATCTGGTTAACTTATTCTGTAGTTCTGCAAAGCCAGCAGAAGGATCTGAATTCTATCCCTTGTGCATGTCGGACAGTTACTTGAGAACTAAAACTGTCTGAACTCACTACCTTCACTCTGTTTTGTCCAACAAACTTTTTTATTGAAAAGGAAGGAACCAGTGGAGGGCCAAGAGGCTTATGGGCCTGGCAGCTGGGGGATAACCCATCTGTCTTGAAAATGGAGTGTTGACATTGATGTTTAAAAAAAAAAAAAGGAAGACAAACCCACAACCGTGCAGCCAGCTCTGAGTCTTTCTAAGAGAGAAGCGAGTAATGTGAGAGCTATAACAGATGATTGGTGGATGCGTCTGTGATTTTGATTGTTTTAGGTTTCAGTTAACCCAGACTGAAAGGCTCTTACGCATATGTTAAACTGGGAGTGAAAAATAACTACACTTCTCTATCTGTATCGCCTGCAGTTACTGGTGCAATTTAAAACCTTGCTTGGTTTCTGTTACCAGCTCATGTATAGCTATGTAAATGAGGTAACTGTTTTCAAAATCTCTTCCTAATGAATCATTTGAAATCTCACCAGAACTCACTCTGGAAATGAAGCTATTACTGAAGCAAGTATACCCAAATTGCCTTTAGGTTCCGGTGTTGGTGTGAATAACAAATGGGACTTCTGCAGCAGACAAATCTTGTCCGGCACCCTGCATGCTACTTAATTTTTTTTTTTGATGCCGAAGGGAACCTTTAAATACCAGGCAGTGCTTTTATAGCTTGTCTACAACTAGTTTACTGTGGACCATAAAGGCTCAGTGATATACTGCTGGGCATATGGACAGACCTGCTCAGGCAGGGTCAGTTAATTTGGTGCTGTTTGCTTTCGAGACGGATGGCTCTGGAAATGTGACCATGTTTCTTGTCTGTTTTCCAGGTGTTCTATGAGCACAGAAGATGGAGCCAAGCTGTATGACGTTTGTCCTCATGTCAGTGACTCGGTGAGCTTCTGGTTCTTCTGAGAGTCTTTTTGATTGTGGTGGGTTGACCCTGGCTGGAGGCCAGGTGCCCACCAAACTGCTCTATCACTCCCCTCCTCAGCTGGACAGGGAAAGAGAGAAAATATAACGAAAGGCTCATGGGTCAAGATAAGGACAGGAAGAGATCATTCACTAATTACCATCATGGGCAAAACAGACTTGACTTGGGGAAATTAGTTTAATTTATTGCCAATCAAATCAGAGTAGGATAATGAGAAATAAAACCAAATCTTTAAAACACCTTCCCCCCACCCCTCCCTTCCTCCCGGGCTCAACTTCACTCCCGATTTTCTCTTCCTCCTCCCCCCGAGTGGCGCAGGGGGATGGGGAATGGGGGTTGTGGTCGGTTCATCACATGTTGTCTCTGCCGCTCCTTCCTCCTCAGGGGGAGGAC